ATGGCTTTCTTCTGTCTCTCCTACAGACATAACTTCAACTTTTTTTTGTATGTAAGTGTAAGTGTTTTGCGGCGAGAAAAAGTTTTTACGGACGTCTGTTTTAACAGATGAAAAAAAAACCCAACCAACCAAACAACCAAACAACCAAACAAACAAACAAACAAACAAAACAACCACCAACAAGACCTGCTCAAGACTCAAGTCCGACCTATGAGCAGCAAGAGCCTGATGAAAATTGTAACAAGAATCAAATGCATATAGATCTAGCTAAGTCTTTTGTCTGCTATTGAAATACACGTGTACAAACAAAACAACTTTCGATCACAGCCTCTGGCGAAAAAAAGGGGACGAAAAAATTAAAAATAATTTTAAAAAAATAAAAATCTCCCAACTTGTTTGACAGGATAGTCGAAGTGAGACTGAGAACCAGATGGAGATAAAGCCATAAACGATACTTAACAAAACTTTCATTCATGGCGGCATCACCGCTTTGTGAATGAAAACAAATCCTGAATTCACTCAAACGAGCGAGAAAATCTCTCATGAAATAGCCATTCCCACATTTCGGGAAAAACGTAAACGTAATTACGATATAATTTTTAAACGCACGGTTGGAATAATAGTCTCAGGATTTTAAAAAATAGTAATTGTAACTTAAGATCTGGAAACACAAATATAAGTTAAAAAAAGCAGAGATAACAATACTTCAAACGTATTATTAGTTGGGTTTTTTTCCTTAAATTTAACTGCTGTTTTTATCTGGCCTTTCGTGGCCAGGAACGGATATGACCTGATTATAGGGCAGCAAAAGGTCGAGAAAAGAACACAGAAACAAGCACTCAGAGCAGCCACGAGGTTATATTAGGAGTTAGCCCCCCCCCCCCCCCCCCACCTTTCTTAGTTTTCGTTGCCAGTCTAATTGTAAGCATATATATAATCAGTACGTGTGGCTGCTTATAAAAGTAGCCCGAAAGGGGCGAACAGGGTTTATACTTAGCAATGAAACTGATTCGAGTATTAGGCTTACTACTACCCCTTGTTGATATAGACGTCTGCTCAAATTTATAAGGCTTATTCTAGGGGTGAATTCGACGGCGGCGACGTTCCTAAATTAAGAAAGGGACCCAGTGGTTATTTATTTACGTCGACGTTTCCCCCGTGACCACCCCCCCCCCCCCTCCTTTATCGTCATCTACTTCATTATCATCGTCCTACTCCACGTTGAGAAAAAAAGAAACAAAAAAGGAAGTGCCAATTCTCCCTCTCCGGAACAGTGCAAATCCCCCCCACCCCCACCCCCACCCCACTCCCGCTCTGTTTCCACCCCATTTTCAAGTGTACAACGCGTGAGGACAGAGAAGGTCAGCTGCTCGCTGTTTCCCCCGTAGAGGTTGAAACCATTGAAGCGTCAGATAGAGGATGAGATGGGGAAAAAGGTCAGCAGTACGAAAACTTCCACTTCCATCCATGAGGATCATCCTCTGGGTCGTGTCGATAATTTCTGCAGGAACTTCAGGGACCTGATAATAAGCAACAAGAATAACTTGGAAAGGTACTCGAATCTACAGTAACTAAAGGAGACAAAGCTCGCTGCTTATTTAGGGTCGGGTACCAACCATTATTTTTAAGAACTGATGAGATGAATATATCAATGCACATTATTATGTCCCGTGTTAAAATCTGGAATAGATTGGTGAATTTTTTCAAAAGTTATACTCCAAAAGCCGTTTTAATTTTAAGATGGAGAGCCCATTATAGTCTAGAATATTTTGATAAGGGATTCCTTGGCCTGTAAGTATCAAGGGAGCTTTGGCTTCTCTGGGGCCAATAGGGTGTTGTCAAAAGGCAACAGGCGTTCGCCTCTGAGATCATTGGAAAGATTATGTGCTTTAAGAGGTCTACCCCGAAGATGGGTCGAGTAACATTAGCAAGGTAAGACCCGTGGTAATAACGTCCCAGAGTCACTAGAGAAATACTGGGTCTAACCTAAGCACGGGTGGAAGAAGTTCCATAACCTGCCGAAGCGAAATTGGGAGAGGGGGGGGGGGGAGTTGTCTGTCTCTTTGATCATGCCCAGAAGTGGTGAAAATGGCCCTATCAACACTATGAGGTTATTTAAGGGGCGGTACTTCCTAGTTTAACGTCCGTCTCCGATAGGACCGAGACAAATGGGAAGTTCGTGTAAAGTGTCTTTCCCAAGGACACAACGTCGAGCTGATGCTCGAATCCCCGAAACCGCAATCTCACGATTACGAGTCCGGTAGCCTAACCACTAGGCTACCGACGCCACCCAGAAGTGGGACAAGTGATACCTCTGCTACTGTGTCATAAAGGTAAGGTTTTCCGCATTTCAGGTCCTCGACTGGACGTGAAGCGAGTAAAAGTTTGAAAAACCATCCTTTGCCACGGCTATCGGCTGGTCGCATAGATGTCTGGTCTTCACGTTACCGGAGGTCTAGAAGAGTACAGAAGAACACTAAACAACCACGTTGACATTACATGCATTAATTCGACGGACCTAATCTAGAATGGTGGAAACACACCGAGAAAAAGTGTGGATTTGGGCTTGTTTTTGAGCGACGTGGAGAGCGTGAAGCAAGCTTTGGCTTTATTGTTACACAGATTCGATCGTTGTTGAAGTGGGTTGATAGGGGGCTCGTGCCAGCTGAACTTCTTGCGCAATTTTGGAGAACGTGATTCACATAACGATCAGCAGACTCAACATGAATGTTGAGATGACTAAAGTTATGTCCTGCGAATGTTGCGAAGGTGTGGAGAATTGTGGGAAAGATCTTTGGCTTGTCGTTTAAAGCACTTATTGTTCATAGAAAGGGGAAAGCTGTGGATGGATTTTCTGTCCCAAGATCGTTTAGATTTTAAAGTTCGTTGGGGGCTCTCGGGGCCTAGAGGTTAGGGTGCTGGCCTCTCATTCAACGGTCCCGGGTTCGAATCCGGGTAGCAACCGAAAATATTTCTTCACTAAAATTATCTCCCTTCACCTCCTTTCCTGCTATCAAGCAATGTTCTGTTGTCTGCTTTCGTCTCCTCTTTCTGCCCCCCACCTCTCACCTCCTTTGTCCCCTCCTCTGGGCTCCTGACTCTTTCTGCAGCCTTTCTACTCCTACTCCTTGGCTCCTTCTTACTGCTGTCTTTCAGCCACACCCCTGATCTTCTGGTAGGAAAGATCTACACCTAGCCTTCTTGGACAAGGGCGAAAAATCTCGGAGGGCCCGTGTGCAAGTTGAACACGTTAAAGATCCCTTGGTGGTCTAAAATCGAAAAGAGTAGGCTTCGGCCACCACCCGGGCAAAATTCTTATTTTCTTCCTACCAGCTGAAAAAAAATGTAATGTGTCCCGCGCGCTCATATGACCTTATGCAGTTGCGAGCGCTGTAAAACACTTACGTAAACTTTAAAAAAAATTCATTGTGATTAATTGCCCAAAGCTTAGGAAGAGAGACCGTTACAATGTGAGGTACTTTTTGGCGTTTGGAGAGTTGGTGAGGACATAATATTGAACATCCTCAGCAGTTTTGGCGCCAAGAGCAATGACTACATAACCTTATTTTGTTCAATCTTTTGTGATGTTTTCCGTCCCGAACTGGGCCTCTATTTCCGCAAACCACACCCTGGGGGTATTCATGGCCTAGAAGTAAAGGTGTTTGCCTCTCATTCAAAAGCCCGGGTTCGAATCCGAGAGCAACGGAAACAAAATTTTCCTCTCTAAAATTGTCTCCTTTCACCCCCCTGCTCTCAAGCAATGTTCTGTCGTCTGCTTTCATGTCCACTTTCTGCCCCTACTCCCTCACTTCCTTTGCCACCCCCCCCCCCTCTGGGCTCCTGACTCTTTCTGCAGCCTTTCTACTGCTTCTCCTTGGCCCCTTCTTACTGCTGCTTTTCAGCCACATCCCTGATCTTATGGTAGATCTTCTCAGAGAAAGGCGATAAATCTCGGAGGTCCCGTGTGCAAGTTGCGCACGTTAAAGATCCCATGGTGGTCCAGAAAATATAAGAGTAGACTTCGGCCGCCACCGGGCAAAATTCAAAATTTCCTACCAACTGAAAATGTTTGGTGTGTCCCCCGCTCTCATTTAATATGACCTTATACAGTTGCGAGCGCCGTAAATCACTTACCCAAAAAAAACCACCCAAAAAAACCCCACACACACAAAAAAAAACCCACACCTTGAGAATGCGGTCCAAAATTCGGGCAACTTTAATGAAACTTGCGTTGATTTGAACTACTTTGCCGTTGACTGGAGTTAAATTGCTAATAGTATCATTACTGACTCAGCACAGCGAATGTGTGGAGTTGTTGATCCGCGACATGTCTGGTGTTGGGAAAAGCAAGTTTGAAAATCATGCACTTTAGTGAATTATCATGCAGAACTGGCTCAAGGACGGTCATGTACAACGTCGGGATCTCCAGTTTTGTGAATCAACAAGGCTTCAATTCATTAACCACTAACAAAGCATTGTTTAACCCTATCCGTACGCCCTGGGGTTATGTTGTACCCCCGGGGTTGTATTCTTCACATTTTAGAATACTTCTTGTACGAAGATCTCTTTGAAACTTTCAGTATTTCTCCAAATATCATTTTGATAGACTGCTGTTCAAAGCGTACGGATCGGATTAATGAGTTAATTTCCTCTTTGGAAAGTGGTGGCACCGAGTTCCCCAAGTCAAATGGTTTCGATAGTAAAACATGACGTACGGATAGGGTTAATAGAGCTCACAACCACGCATATCCACTGCAGATCTAATCAAACGTACGTCAAAAAGTCCCGGAAAGTCTCGTAGTTTGTCACCAAAACGCTACAGTGATCAACGAGGAAAGCTTATTTGGTACGTTGTCCTTCTTTCCGAGAGATAACCCGGATAACTGCTGCTGCTGCTGCTGCTGCTGCTGCTGCTGCTGCTGCTGCTGCTGTTGTTGTTGTTGTTGTTGTTGTTGTTGTTGTTGTTGTTGTTGTTGTTTCTTCTTCTGTCTGACACTTGGGTGGGTGGTTGGCCGGCGCTCTCATGTATTCTTGTAAACATCTGATTTGAGCGCGGTTCCGATAATAAGACGTTCAAATTCCTTTCATTAACTAATATTTAGCTTTTCTGTTTTATTAATCTTTTTTTCCAGTTGTCTACCATGGAATCACAGAGAAATCGAGTTGATTACTGGCAAAAACGATGGGACGCAGGGATCGTCACCTTCCACAAACAGGAAGTTAACCCGTAAGCATGAATCTGTTATTGAAATTAAATGTCACCATTTTCTCCCGCAAAACTGATATCACTTTCTTGAATGATGCCCCCCCCCCCCCCCCCCCCCCCCCCCCCAAGGCAGTGCTACTGGCTGAAGTGTCTTTAAGATATTCCCAAACGGGGGATATTAACCTGTTCCTATGCACAGCAGAACTGTAAATGGACTGATTTATCAATGTCATGTTCATTCTGTTCCAGAACAACATAGGAGGAAATGCTGCTTTTTCTTTCCTCATCCTTACTATCGCCATTTTTCCTTTACTTCTTTTGTATGTTTGTCACTCTCTTGTGAACTGCATATGACCTTATTGTGTTGCAATTGCCGTTAAACTCTTACTAAATCTAGAAAAAAATCTTGTGAACTGCTATTTTTGGGGCGCCTTGATAGTCGAACCAGACTTAGTGCTGTTGAGGCTATAGAGGTGAGCAGAGTAAGCCTGATTCCCTGTTTCGACTTCTCTGTTGACACCCACCCCTTGGCGCTCATATAACCTTATGCAGTTGCCAGCGCAGTAAAACCTTATTAAAACTAAACTCGAATGAAGCGGCAGCGGCACAGTTGGTAGACTGCTATCTTTTTTGTTTCCCAACTGAAATTCGCACAGATTATGTCGTTGTCGTGAGTAGGTAGCGGTGCTCTGACTCTGAGTGTGGCTTGCTCCTTCTTTCCTATTGTACGTCTATCGTCTTTATCTCTCCTACTTTTCTTTGTATGTTACTCTCTAGTAGTAACTCCTTTATTCTTCGACTCTACTAAGACTTACATGAATATGACATAATGTCTTAAGAGTGGGCAAAATATGTACTAGAGCTTTAAAAAGTTTTTTTTTAAAGTAAAAAAAACCAAAACCGTTTACAAAAATAATCGGATTAACGTACTGCACCGCTGCCTGTCTCTCAGGGAGAGTGGATTGAAAAAAAAAAGATTGAGGCTGACCAAGAGAGTTGGAATATTTCGGACTAAAGAGGACAGATTATGGGAATTGATGTAGCCAGAATAGGTCCTTATGAGAATTAGGATTTATTAGGACGAGACGTAAACCGCCAAGTAAGAACCAGAAAAAAAATATTCTTAAGTTAAGAATTAGAAGCTATATTTAGTATAGAGAAGAAAGTTTACAGACTTTACTTTATTCTTCTTTTTTTGTAGCCTTCATTTGATCTGAAATTTTAAAAGTTACAAATCCGCCTTGAATGTGCACGTTGGTAAGGCGTAAGCTCAGTGCAACATTAATTGGTATGTTATTATTAAGACATTGTTATTATTTTGACTAATCGTTCATTTTGTTTGGTATAGTGTGATGCGGAACTATACGGTATAGAACGATATGGTATGATACAGTATACCCTTTTCAACACTATGGTCTCATTAAAGTGGCGATACCTCCTGTGTAAATCTCCAGGACCGAGATCATTGGCGCCACAGTCCAGAGTATGTTAATAATAGTTCATTTAAATCCTGAAATAGGGCTTGCATTAATCTGTAGAATATTACCTTAAGTTAAAAGATGGGACAAAAATGACTACGGGGAGATGTTCTCTTTCTTGTAAAAACATAGTTTGTGGTTTACGAGTTTCTTGAAGCACTCTGTTGAGGTATTCATAAAAAACAAATTTTCCTCTGGTTCAAGTTTTAAAAAAAGACTATCAATTCACTAACATTCTGTGTTACATTTCGTTTTTTCCTTTTTTTTTGTTGGTATTAATAATGTTGTGTTTTGATCTCACAGGTTGCTGGAAAAGCATTTTGACAAGCTTCTCTTGGGTGGAAAGAACGAACGAATCTTTGTTCCACTGTGCGGGAAAACTTTAGACATGAAATGGTAGGCTTCTCGTGGCAAATTGATCAGTTGGGGCGCACTTAATGTTCTGCTTTAGTATTAACAATGTAGGCCTTGCCGAGGGTAATATAAAATCTAAATGTTTGGCTTAGTACATCTGGACAGCTGGCTCACCTCATGTCGCTCTCCCCAATGATCCCAAGATGATCATGTTTAATGTCCTTTTATTTCTAGAGTGTGTTACTAAATCACTTTTGCAGGGTCTCTATGAATTAGGCTTTTCGTCAAGGTCGAAAATTTTGTCCACTGCGTAATCCTCAATGTCATTTATCTCCTGACTTAATATGTTTAGGTCATGGCAAAACCATTGTTACTTCAGTTAGTTATTAAAGCCCGAGAGTATTGGTTTGGCTATTTGGGGAGATCATATTGTAAATACAAGGATACGGATAGCACGCTAGGAGGAAAATAGTTATGTACAAGGTGATCTAGAAAAAAACTACTGTACAACTTTTTTTTCTAAATATCTCGCAAAATATTTGTACTAGAATGTTGTAATTTGGAACAGATATAATTCAGTCAAAAGGAATTTGTTTGACATAAAATTCACAAAGAAGAAACTTAATTTCGAAAACGGAAATGGCTTTTATAAAAACCACCTATAATTGCAAACAAAATGCATCAATTTAAAAGGGAAGTCATGGCATGATTGGTTTGTATTTTCCTTTCCTTTTATTTTCAAAATCTAATCTTTCCATCCCTGTAACCTTCAAACAATATTTCTTTTCTCCTAAAAAGTGAATTTAAAGAAGTGGAATTCCAAGAACAATGGTCCATTATGTCCTCCTTTGGACTCGGCACATTTTAACGCGTCGTTCGTAAAGTTCAGTGGTTGCCAAACACAAGGATCCACTCAATCATGAGTACTCAAAGCCACACACACTGTTCACCTTACAGTATGAAGCTGTTTCTAGAGACAATGGGGGGGGGGGGGGGTGATATTGCCCAAACAGGCAGCTTTTGTGCAGTTGAAATAACCTGAAAGGTAAATATGGGCTTTGCCAAGGAACCAAATGTTATAGAGGAAATGTTCACGCTTTTCAAGGCGATCGAGGAATCATGAACACATTGCTATCCTCTGATAGCTTCGCAAAAGGGAAAATGGTACAGTCGTAGATGAAGACTTGCCTTGAGAATGCGGACTTTTGAGACGTAGGAAAGTCATTGCTGCAGACATCGTCTACAGAAAGACGTCTCACGGGGCTCATCTTCCGAATTCTACACCCTTGTAACGTTTGAAAAGGATTTCGAACGGTGTGTGTTTGACCTGAAGTGGTCATTTTATCTAGGAGTTTTTTATTCTGATTTTTTACAGGTCCTAACTGATCTACTATTTCCACCCTTGACATCAAAGGAGGCCTTAAGGGCACTTTAACATTATTTCCGTACCTTGTGCGAAACTTACAAAGTGAGTTGGTGGTGAGGAAATGTTCAATACAAAAAGCTTTCTGCTCTTTACTAATCTGATTCATGATCTCAGCAGGCAAAGGAAACTTGAGAAAAACTATTGAGAAAAACTATCTGCAAACTTCTGTTGGCCTGTTACACTTCTGTAGTTTGCAATATGGCGCAATTGTTGGGATTTTTAGTGGTAGACCTAATGCGAACTAGTGTACCATGTTACAAAAATGGGGACATGGCTGAAAATGTGCTGTTTTGTACGCGCTATTTAGAGCAAAACTTTTTTTTATAGAATTGCCTAACATGAATAAATCGAACTTACGAACACCGGTAAATTAGCCAGTACTTTTGTTTTCTGTATCAATGTTTTTAATGCTTAAATAACTAGATCTATGTGTACAGCTACGACCTGTATAAAAAGCACGGTCTCATTAAATTGATCTTTTTTTTTTTACGCGACAGGCTGGCTGACAAAGGCGTGGAAGTTGTTGGGCTCGATGGCGTCCCCTTGAGTTTAGAGCAGTTCTTCTCCGACCAGAACCTCGAGTACACCTCGAAGAAGATACCTCAGTTGGGGGATAATTGTCAACTGTTTGAGGTCAGCGCTGCTTTAAGCTGTTCTTTGAGTTGGCAAGAACATAAGTAGTAAATTGGGAGGGGGGGGGGGAGGAAGAGGAACATTATGTGTGTTTAGTTCTGATTTCTGCTGGTTTCCCAACTTCATCTCGTTCCTTTATACCACACAGTAGTGGCAAATTAGTGCAAATGAACTTTTTTTCTTTGACCGTCATTGAGAACTAAACCCATTCTTAAAGCATTGTTAAGACTGAATTATATTTCTTCGTTTCTCCGTTGTACTGCTATTTGTTCAATGACAAGGGCACACAAAAGTCACCAAAGCAACACAACAACCTACTAAATTCATTCACCGAAAAATTGGACTATCAACTCGGCTACATAACTTCTTTAGATACAGGTGCCTTATTAGTCTTGATAATTTTAATTTTAATACTGTTCAAAGCATTTAGACACACTGTTTTGAGATAAAGACCTGTTGGCAAATGCATATTAACTTTCCTATACACTATGTTATTTCTGAATGACCTCCAAAAATCTTTTCAGAGTGCCCAGGATCGAATTCGCCTATATTGCGGGGACATGATGAACTTCAGTCCGTAAGTTTTACTCTCATAGATGCCCCCCCCC